AATTTACCCCAAATCCCCGAATTGCCCAAAATCCCCAAATTCCCCAAAATCCTCGAATTGCCCAAATTCCCCAAATTTGCCCAAAACCCCCGAATTTACCCCAAACTCCCAAATTGCCCAAAATCCCCCGGATTTGCCCAAAACCCCCAAATTTCCCAAACCCCTGAATTGCCCAAAATCCCCCAAATTTCCCCAAACCCCCGAATTGCCCAAAACTCCCCGAATTGCCCAAAATCCCCGGGATTTGCCCCAAACCCCCGAATTGCCCAAACTCCCGAATTGCCCAAAATCCGGGATTTGCCCCAAACTCCCGAATTGCCCAAACCCCTGAATTGCCCAAAATCCCCCAAATTTCCCCAAACTCCCGAATTTCCCAAACCCCGGGATTTGCCCAAAATCCCCGGGATTTGCCCCAAACCCCCGAATTGCCCCAAACCCCTGAATTTGCCCCAAACTCCCGAATTTCCCAAACTCCCAAATTGCCCAAAATCCCCCGAATTCCCCAAACTCCCCGAATTGCCCAAAACCCCGGGATTTGCCCAAAATCCCCCGGATTTGCCCCAAACTCCCGAATTCCCCAAACTCCCAAATTGCCCAAAACCCCCCGGATTTGCCCCAAACTCACGTCGAAGTCCACGCGCTCCCCCTCGGGGATTTTGGGGGGCGCCAGCTGGGCCAGGGGGGGCCTGGGGGGGGCGGGGGGTCAGAGACCCGAAAATGCCCAAAACGCCCCAAACGGCCCCAAAATCTCCTCACCGGGGCCGGGGCCGCTCCTCCTCTGCCGGAAGGGGACACGGATCGGGATTGGGGGAATTTGGGGATTTGGGGATTTTGGGGATTTTGGGGGATTTGGGGGGATTTGGGGGAAATTTGGGGATTTTGGGGGATTTTGGGGGAAATTTGGGGATTTTGGGGGGGAAAATTGGGAAAATGGGGATTTGGGGGGAAAATTTGGGCTTTTGGGGGGCAAATTTGGGGGAAATTTGGGACTTTTGGGTGGAAATTGGGGATTTTTCGGGGTAAGAAATGGGCATTTTGTGGCCAAGGATTCCAGGGGGCGGGGCCAAAGGGGCCACAGGGGGCGTGGCCAATGAGGAAAAGGGGGCGTGGCCAAAGGGACATGTCCAATGAGGAAAAGGGGGCGTGGTCAATGATGAAAAGGCGTGTCCAAAGGGCGTGGCCAATGAGGAAAAGGGGCGTGGCCAAAGGGGCATGTCCAATGAGGACAAGGGGGTGTGGCCAATGAGGAAAAGGGGCGTGGCCAAAGGGGGCGTGGCCAATGAGGAAAACGAGGCGTGGCCAATGAGGAAAGGGGCGTGGCCAAAGGGGCGGGGCCCGGCGGCGCTGACAGGGGGCGCAATAAAGGAGAGAAACGGAGAGCGTGTGGGG